GAGCCGGTGAGATTAGAACCGCTGAACTGCAGATAACAGTCAGCTGAAGTGGCCTGCAGTACTGCACCCTAACCACTGCGCCACCTCGGCTCTTATGCTGACTCTGTAAACTGCTTAGAGAGGGCTGTAAAGCACTGTGAAGCAGTGTATAAGTCCAAGTGCTATTGCTATGTTTACAAATACTCTAGTTATATGTCTGCATGTATCTTTATTACAGTCAAAAAAGTTGAATGTGAAGCAAATTGTAAATACGATTTGCCTAATTAAGCAGTCTAGCCATAAAATATTCATTAATAGGAAACCGTTCATAATGTAGCAAGAATAATAATTGACACCTTCCTAATTGATTCACAAGCTGTGTTCTTAATTGATGAGCACTGCCAAAAAATTCAGCTGCAGCAGGGGTCTCCTTGAAATTTCTGTCACAAAACAAACATTTTACATATTCAGCACGAGACCTGCCTGCAACTATTTTTAACATGACCCAGATCAAGTCTAAGACAAGTCTCTTTCTCCCACCACCCTCAGATAATTACAGCAGGCCCAAAACATATTTGAGTCTGAGAGATAATGTGAGAAAAGAGGAAAAGCTTGAAAAAAATTGGGTATCTTTGGCCCAGAGCGTAGAGGAAGACAAGATGGCTGTGTTCAAGTATTTGAAGGGCTGATAGGTAGAAGATGAGACAGACTTTTTCAGAGTCCTTCCCGAAGACAGGGCATAAAAGTTTTAAATTATATTTAAAAAATATATGTTGGTTGGACATTTTGGGGGGGGGAATCCTAAAGGTAAGGAATATTATTAAAAATGGGCCTGTAAGACCTGGAAGCCATTTTTTGCATTGGGCCTTCAGGCCTGCCACATTTAATGCTGTGGGAAACTGAGAGGGGGTGGGTTACATAGAGTGGGGTAGATATAGTCAAAATAACATTCTTTTCTCAGAGAGTCAAGGTCATCCTGCCCTGCACCTGGAGTGGTGTGACTGGGAGGCATCTCCAGTTGGGACAGTGCCTGATTGGGCCATGTGACGGACATGTGGGTGCTGGGCAGGGTTTAGACTTTCACTTGGGTGGGGAAACCTTGGAAATTTTCAGATTCGGGTTTTCCCAGGTGTGCCAATATGGCATCTCTAATAAAATGGAACTTTGAGGAACCTCAAGACTCTGAGTCTTCTTCCGTTGGGGGTGTTACTTGGAACCCTGACAAGACCCAACCATTAGAATTACTCTTCCTTCACTGGAGGTGCTTAAACTGAACCTGAATGACTCAGTCAGGGGTGCTATAGTAAATGGATTCCTGGATTGGATTGGATTGGACAGGGCTGGATTACACGATCCTTAAAGCCACTTCAAATTCTGTGATTCCCAGAGCAAAAAGTAAATCGGACCTTGCTCATAGCTACGTGTGCAAAAAACATGCTTACTCAACACTTTTGTGGCTCCATTTGCACAGCAACTAACTTTTATTGAGGTGATTTTTATTTAAGAGTTTGGTTTAGTTTAGTGTTAAGCACATTGTGTGAACCCAGCCAGTTTATAGTTCAATGTATGGTGAGAACCCATAAAATGGATAAATTCCGTTACTAGGGTTAAGTACATTGAGCAACTGCATGTAATTATTTCTCAAACCCAGTGTCTTTCAAATGCATTGAAAAAGCATAGATAATATGATTATTGTTAGGAAGTTAAGATATGAGATGAATTAATGGATGCCTGTTCCGAATTACATTCGTTCTGTGAAGAAGAAGAAGGGAAGCCAAAAAATCCCACACAGTCTGTTTCTCCACGGATATAATAGATATTCATTATATACAATAATAGTCGATGATCTCAGGCATAGCAAAACTAAAGGAATGCCTGTATGCCATTAATTAATGCTTTGCTATATTTTTTTTTAAGTTGCATTTAAAAATAAGATTTGCAAGATTAAACAATTATAATACTTTGAACAAGAAACATTTTGCGGTGAGAAAATTAAACTTTCCTTCCTTGTTCACTTTTCCCTTTGTTATCTCCATCCTGAAATCCCATTTCTCTTGCCCTCTTTCCACATGTAGCTACCTTCCTTGAATCCTTTCCAGGTTGGGCTTCAAAAACCTCAGCAACTGGTTCTCTGCCCAGTTACTGGGTGGGTGTGGCCATTGTGGGTGTGGCAGAGGTGGCATTCAGAAGGTTCTGACCAGTTCTGGAGAACTGGTGGCAGAACTTTTGAGTAGTTCAGAGAACCAGTAAATACCACCTCTGACTGGCCCCATCCCCATCTATTCTCTGCCTCCCAAGTCCCAGCTGATCGGGAGGGAATGGGGATTTTGCAATATCCTTTCCCTGGAGTGGGGAGGGAATGGAGATTTTACAGTATCCTTCCCCTGCCATGCCCACCAGGCCACGCCCACAGAACCAGTAGTAAAAATATTTGAATCCCACCACTGGGGTGTGGCCTATTCGAGCCTTTGGGAGGGTGAAAACTGCCTCTTACCTTGCATCCAAAACAGGCTGCGTGGAGACTCCTGGAAGGGCCGGGGTGGGGTGGAAGGGGCAGGGCAGAGCAGGATGGGCAGGGCCAGCCAGGGGTGGGATTTGGAGGTTCTCCGAACTGGCCATAACATTAGCTACGGGTTCTCCCAAACCCGGACGAACCCGTAGCAGCCCAGCCCTGATTCTTTCTCACAGAAGACACCTGCTCTTTTACTCTTTTATTTCTGTACTGCCTTCCCTGGAGCATTTCTCCCCAAGAACCATTTTTCACTCAAATAGTTTTACCCCTTCTTTTCCCTTTTCCACTCCTTCCCTGTCAATCAGGCAATTCTTATTCTACCAGAGGATGGAAAGAGACAGCTATTGCGTATATATCATGAGAAATTACCACTAACATCATTATTACTGGTGGAAGGAAAGCTTTAAAGAAAGACTTCCTCAGTCTTTTATCGCTCTTTTTCTAAGTTTATCTGTGTGGTTTGTGTGTGTGTATGTGTGTGTGTGTGTGTGTGAGAGAGAGAGAGAGAGAGAG